CGTGGTCAAACTTGCCTAGGAGACCTTGCAGTTTGCAGCCCGTGAATGTATCCGCCATTGTCCAGAATCTAAGAGGTTTCGGGTTTCTAATAATATAGCTAAATCAAACCAGTTGTAACCAGTGTTGGAATGCACTGGCAAAGGTATATTGGGGTAAGGTGTGGGAATATTTGATCAATCATAACGTGTTTATTTCAAATTTAGTTTTGGCTTGTTTCTGTTGCTCGCTTTGTATAAGTGTTATGGAGATTCATTTACGTTCCTTTAGATGAAGTGTCATTGAATTTCGTCTGGTTTTTCGATTTTTTTTTCTTTGCCAGTGCTCATATTCATTAATAATAATAATTCAATTCAATAATGATAAAATGTTTCATTCAAACTTGACCGATCAGCAAACGTCTTACTTGATATGCCCGACCCCTGCCGATATCAATTTATTCTGACTCTCCAATGAAAACCTCACTTTATAAATATCCTGACCATACGCCTTGCTCCTCCAGGCTATCACCTTTGTGAATAAATTATGATAATTGGCAGCAAAAAAATGTCCTTAGAATATAACTAGTGTTAGGGTTAGGGGTTGAATAAATTATGTTAATCTTACGAGCTAACCTCTTTCTTCCAATCCCAAATTGCCAGGGTGTAGTCCGGTTCGCCGCTTAACGATGCTAACATTGTACCGTCCGGACTGCGTGTGTTTCATCATCATCGTCATCATCATCATCAATAACATCATCATCATCATCAGCAGCATCATTTCCAACTTGAAATCCAAATAAGCGAATGATTTTTCGGCGCCATTTTTTAAAATTCTTTGCAACCTCATAGACGGGAAATGAAAGATGTCGATGCTAGGCTTGCTGCCTCTTTCGGCAACCGCAAAATTTCTCTTTTGTAAATCTATCTGAAGGTGTGAATGAATGAATGAATGAATGAGTGAATGAATAAATGAATGAATGAAGTTCTGTTAGGGTACTTCAACCCTCGCCTCCCAGACCCTTAAATCCATCACAGCGCCCTACTAACTGTAATAGCAGAGAAACCAGTGCCAGCTAAACTCCTGAGGTATTTTTTCTTGTTAATCTTGAAATTGTAGAAGACGACGTAGTTGCCCGCGACGTAAGCCAGGATGGTAGCGTCAAGCGCGATCAAGTTGTAGAATCGCTGGCAGTCATAGCCCAGAGAGCAACTGATATGTTGGATAATTTAATTTTGTTTAAAAATTATTTGTGTGCATTTTTTTCTAACGTTTCAATCATTTTTTAGTTTCATCTTAACATTTCAGATACTTAAATTTGGAGAAAATTAATTAAAAAATTAGTAAGATATAGAATATAGATAGAGTAAGACGACTGTTTGATTTGAAATTTAAAATAATTGAATTAGATAAAGTGATTGGCTTCAAAATTTCATAATATAATTAGCAACGATTTCTCTTTGCGAATTTGATGTGTTACAAGTTTCAATATTCTTGCAGAGTCTCACTTCCCGATATTTTTTGCACGCATGCTTTCTCCGAGGGTTTGAATCGTTTAAAATTTTAATATCTTTCAATAAATAAAGTCCTAGAACGTGTGCCGAATTTATTTTAGATAGAAAACTTAGATAGATGGATGAATAGATAAATAGATGGATGAATAGATAGATAGATGGATAGATGGATGGATGGATGGATGGATAGATGGATAGGAAGAGAAGTAGATGCCTACTTCAATGTAATGAGATCTGAGGGCAGTTGTGCAGGATTGGTTGTCGTGGCTTTCGAACAGATTGAATCGTAGGGGTAGCAGAACTTGTATTTATCTTCAGCCATTAATTCCACAATGGACACATCATACCATACTTCATCTTATTAAATGAATTAACAAAATGAATTATTTCTGAAAATACATTTTAGAAAATATGAGAGGGACAAACCGTTTTTTTCATCTAAATTCCAGCTACCCCGGTCTTCTGAAACTTTATCAACAATTTCTGCTTCTATTTCCTCTTCCTCTTCATCCTCTTTTTCTTCTTCTACATCCACGAACATCTCATTGGTAGGTGCGGTTGAGTCCTCAGTTTCATGTATAATATGAACGTGCCTGTTGGCTATTTTGCTCTCTCTAATATTTTCAGACGCCGTCGTTTCGTTTTCCATCTCTTCCTCGTCATTTTCTTTCTCATCTTCTTCGATAAACTTCTTCTTGATATCGAAATCGGCTTCCGTGTAATCTTGCGAATCAAGGGATCGTTCTAATTCCAGTTCCATGACTTGAAACTTTGACACCATGGTCTCCTTCAGGACGTGTTCCTGAAATTTCGAAGCGAAACGAGACATGCGTCGAGGCGGTAGCACGGCGTCCGAGCTACCCTGACTGCGGCGAGAATATCTCGAATTTCCGAAACTTTTTCTCCCTATCGCGTTCTCCGACATCTTAACTTTTTAAATATTTAATGTAACTCAATTCTAAAAATGTTATTTAATTTATTCGGGAAAAACTTTTAATATTAAATCTGGAAATAAATTTAAAACAGCTGACATGTAACTATGGTAACCATCCTATAAACAAAACGAACAAATTTGAATTTGAACCAAAGATGCTCTATCGCGTCTGACGAATCTTCAAATTCGTAACAGCAAGCACACCGAACAGATCGTACTATGGATACAAGATCCGTGGATTCCGTACAGATACATACACATTTTAATAACCACATACAAATCGAATGAACAATTCATCTGCACATCTCAAACCAACCACAACAAAAATGAAATTTAATTTTGAAACTGAATTGAGAATAATATGAGAAAAAAACAGTAGAAAAAGATTTGAAATCCAAAGTATGAAAGATATAATAATTAGTTTAAGGTTTTTCTTTGTTGAGGGCTTGGATAAATTCCTCCAACAACTCTTGAATCTGCCTAACGCGTTCTAAATAAAAAAAAGTTTAAAAATCCTCAATATTGCCTAATTTAACTGTTAAAAACTCTAATTATTTGATTAAATCTATATGAAAAGTTAATAAATAGAAATATAAATTGGAAAAATTAAACAAAACGAACTTAATTCTTCAGCCAGAGAAACTCTTTTGCCATTCAAAATCATTTCGAGTTTGCTCTTGTCATCTCCAATCTCGTTCAATGCATTCTTTATTCTCTGCTCAAATCTTCGAGCTGTAAAATAATGTAAAATGATTGAATGAATGAATGAATGTATTAATGAATGAATAAGTAACAAATGAATGAATAAATGATTCAATCAATCTATCCGCCTTCATTATTGATGACATGCTGTCGAAGGGCATTAGTGGTTGCTTGCAGCATCCTCTCTATCCTCCAGAAGAAGACGACATCACTGCAGTTCGCCTTTGAGAGATAGAATAATTTGTCTTTGAGAACAAATATTTCAAAATATTATTGAATATTTATACTCCTTTAGAATTTTAACTTGAAAGTTAAAATGATGAAAGGGTGAAGAAAAAAGAGACCGTTTCATCGTCCATGTAGCCCTTCTTGTAATAATAAAACCCCCGTCGACATTCAACAGTCTGCGACATGGCCTTCCTCAGTGACGTCAGCTTATGAACACGTGACCAGGTATCCTTGATGATGACGTCATCAACCTGCACGGACTGGTTCTCGAGATTCTTCCGGATCGCCGTTAGATCGTCCTTGCTTAATTCGATTGGCATTTTCTGAATTGCAAAAAATTTTGAAAAAAAAATCCCAATTTGTCAATCAATCAATCAATTGAGTTAAGAATGAAGAGCCGACGAATAATCGGATCACGACCTTCCCGACGATCAGCTTCTCCAGCTCTCTGACTACTGCCCTTCTCAAATTCTCTTCCTCCGTCCTGCTGGCCATCCAATGCAGCCATTGATCACGTTTGCTAGGACCAATCATCTTGTTGAAATCCTGTTCAGCTGATTGGTGGACAATAAGTAGGTCACTAATTATTAGGTCATCATCACCACTCTTGACGTCACTAACGATTATGTTAATGACGTCACACTGTCACAACCTTTGACGAGTTCTTCCTTGACGACGACCTCCATAAATTTGATAGCGCTGTCCCATTGCGATTTGTCACTGATGTCTCTATCTTCCAATGTATTCATCTGGATCACACGCTATTGATTGGTTTATTTTTAGCAACTTAATTAAAATTCGCTTATTTATCACCTCATTAACATTAATTATGCAAATTATTACAAGGCTTTCTTCTGCTTTCTTATCCCAGGCATGCTGTTCTTTGCTAACTTCGCTCTTGATTTCATTAAAAATCGGGTCACCGTCAGTTTTATCAGGCAGCAATAATTTCCTGAATTCTGATTGGACGGTGGCTCTGCCGACCTAATTACATAATAAAGTGCATATGCTTGTTATTATAATTATTTATTATGAATAAATTATAATAAACTATAATTGATTAATTGATAATAAATGATTGATTGATTGATTTATAATAAATTACCTGGACAGATAATGACGGCAGCGACTTTTCTGCCCATTTTTTCAGTTTGATGTCGACAGTGGTATTGAAAACTCTGAAATTTTTCAGGTGTAAAAATATTTAAATAACGAAACATCGCTCATTCTAGTCATAATAAAATTAATTAATTAATTAATACGTTATTGTAATTAAAAATATTAAAATTAATATAATTATTTGCCCAGAGCAATCAGACAGAGAGGCGGGTAGGTATATATTGTTGAAAACTTCGTCAGAAAAACTTTTCCACAAATTTTTTCGAAATGTCTCCTCCCTGAAAAAAATTTAATTCCATGAATAAATTAAAGACTAATTATGAATAGATTATAAAATTTAATGTAAATTTTTATGAATAAACACTGTTATAATGACCAGTGCTGAGGTGGTATAAGAGAGAGATTGATGACTTCATCCAGTATTTCACCTCTTGCCTTCTCAAACAACTCATCCTAATGAAGTGAATATATTTACATAATTTAGAGAAAGAAAGAGAGAGAAAGAGAGAGAGAGAGATAAAAAGGGAGAGAGAAAGACAAACCCTGTCTAGTTCTCTGTTTTTCGGAAACGTATTCTTCCATTCTGTCTCCAAATTGAATCTCATTGCTAGAAAATCAAAACGCTCAAATGAATATTTCCAGCATAGGAAATAAATTAATGGAAAATAGTATTTGTAGTGAAAGTAACTGCAGTAACAACAACAACGACAACAGCGGTAGTCACATCAGTAACAAAAGAAGTAGTTGGAGTAAGAGCAACAACATCACAAAACCTTTAAAAGAATCAGCCTGCTGGTCAATTGCCTCCCTTACCATCTTCCAAAAACATTTGGAAACAGCAAGACTCAAATTATAAGTCGTCATCTGCGATGATTTCAAAACTCCATTCTTGAAAAGAGAGGACGATTTGAAAAACCGCTCCTCATAATCTTTGATATCTTGAATACTATCGTTATTATTTCCTTTTCCAGTTACTACGGCAAAGTAGCCAAGAGCTTTCATAGGGAATAACCTCCCTTCTAGAATCTTCCTAATCCTATCTGGGTTGTACTGATTGTTTTCTGCTACGTCGACTTTTGTCAAGACGAAGATAGTTCGTTTGCCAGAGGGGTCCATAGAACTAACAAGATCTGTCACGTTACTTCTTTCCGCGTCTATGGAGCCATCTAGGTTTAGAGGTCATTAAAGGTTAGCTAGCTATCAGATCGATTAGTGCATAAATATAAACGCACCTTGAATGCATAAAATGATAGCATTAGGATTTTCCATATGCTGTTTGCAGATCTGCCTTATACGATCTTTGGTGTCGCCGGCCATTCCCGTGGTTACCGTGCTGATGATTCCCGGCAGGTCGACCAAGACGATCCTGTGCAGTCCGGGGCCTTTCACCGTCAATGATATGGTCTGTGGGCGATGGTAGGTGCTGCGTTTGAGCTTTACTTTCAATTTATGAAACATTTTTAATAAAATTGCAACTGAATATAAATTATTTTAAGTCCGTATTGTATCCATCAATCCAACTATAATTGATATTCATTTATTGAAGGAGAAAACCATGAGACCTCCCCACTGACAGTACGCCCATCACTGACACTCGACTTCATGCGCATCTCTATTTCCTGCCTGAGAGCTTCCAGTTCGGACTCCTTAGTGAGGTCGTACTCTTTGAGGCCGTCTTTAAACTTGGCCACGTGGTACGGCCCCTCACTCAGGGTGACCTTCACCGGCGACCTTGTCATCATCTCTCCCGACCCTCGAGGAAAGATTCTGGCCTGTGCGATCATCTCAAGAACGCTGGTTTTACCTGAACTCTGATCCCCGACGACCACTACACGAGGGAGATGGTCCTGAATGTTGTAACTGCTGTCAAAGTCGGCCAGTTCGTCGAGAACTTCCGAGTACATGTCAATTAGTGAACGTTTTAGGCGGCGTTTTTTAGAGTCTTTGGCGTGTTTCAGCATTAATGATTTTCGAAGTTCTCGATTGTCTCTCTTCAATCTGTCCATCTCTTTTTGAAATTCGATCTGTTCGTTTGGTGGTATTTTTTTTAAATGAACATATTACATTTTCAAATTAAATAAAATAAATTATATCAACAACAATATATCATCTAAAAATTATTTTGTCAAAATTACATACCCCTAAACATTTCTGAATGAATTTTGAATAAATTTTGAATGAATTATGAATGAACGTTAAAACATCCAACTTGCTGAGTCATCATCTGATTATGTAGTTCCTCAATCTTTGCACTTTCCAACTGCTGCAGTTGTTTGTAGTTGAGTTTGCTGTGCTGTTGTTGTTGTTGCAATTGTTGGGGAGCAGCTGTCGGGCCAATCGACAGTGTAGTCCCGGTATCTGAGAAACCATTTTTTTAAGTATGAAAATTGAAATAAACAAATTGAGTAGAAAATGATGTGATTAGCATTCATCATTCATTAGCATCACAACATAACCCACCCTCATCAAATGTTACACCTTGTCTAATTTTGTCTTCCAGCCACTTTCTGGCTGCCCTCAACCTCGGGTATTCCTCGGGAAAGTACCCCTTGAAATCAGGCATTCGGGGCATCTCAACTGAATTAGTGTAGTCGAGGAATTTTTGTTTGAGTTCATTCAGCTGTTCGTTGTCTGGAAAATAGTCCTTCATCCAAGATAGGCCTGGTAGCTTATCTTTCCAGGACTCAAAAGTCTTTTAATGAACAATTTGTTTCAAAATTAAAAGGCAAACTTGTTATGAAAAATAGCATAAAACTAAAAAGAAAGAGAACAAAATTATAATAAATTATAATTAAGCAATAAAATTTGTATAAATTGTTAGTAACTTTTCCAAATTCTGACCTGGTAGGCGGAGGTCCCTCCAGCTATGGCCCCCCCAAACAAGAGGTACCTGAGTTTCGTGAGCCTACCTAACAGACTGCCTATAAACCTCAAAGAACTCATGTACAGAACTGAATTGTAATTAAACCTTCTTCCATTATAAGTACTACCAAATAGGTTTGAGTTTAATCTCCAGCCAGTATCTGAAATTTTTTTATTTCGATTTTGTTGAGTGTTAGAATTAGAATGGTTATTGAATCGGTGGTGGTAGCACAAAATCTGACGTAACGTTGGTGAGGATGATGACGGTGGCACGCAGATCACTCTGGATAGTTTGGTAGATTGGGGATGTATTGATTTTAATGTGAGTCTTCGGTGTCCGCTGCGAAAATTTCTTGGCAAAAAACTATCAGGGAATTAGATTTTATTTCTAATTTTTTTGTGAAAGGAATGCACAGTTTGTTAATTAAACTTTAAAAAAAAATTTTTTAATTAGATGACAAATTAATTTAAAAAACCTGTTCAATTTGGATATATGGTACAACATGGCGTTTTTTTTACGAAAAAAAAGGTTAATTCATCACCGCGATAAAATTTAAATATTAATAAACTAAATAATTCACTCCCTATTTATCGCTTGTTTACAAAGACAGTGGACAAACTATTTAAATTTTAAATGTAGCACAAACCAAGAATATAGATTCCAAACCGATTTTTCAAAACTTTGACAAACCCACAATCATTTCAAACATTTATTAGGCACCACTGAGTAAAAAACGAAATTAAAAAAACAAATAAATAACGTTAAATGTAAGAAAAATAAAGTTAGACGCAAACTCAAGAAACTCGGTTAAGAGCAATTTGACACGAAGATGATACATCAAGAAAGAAATGTCCTTCTTGTCCAGGTTCATAAGTAGAAGGTTGAATGTTGTACACCCCTCCAGTTAAGTTGGTTAGTTCCATGTAACAGTAGCCTCTTCTGTAATCTCCTGTTACTTTTCGTTGGAATGTACCATTTGGATTAGTGGAGGAGGGAACGTTTGACGTCACCGACGTTACCTCAAATCTTATGTTGTAATTCCTGAGAAGTAGCGATCGAAACACTAATCTTAAGTCAGTCTATTCAGAATGAACGATATGAAGATTCCAACCTGGGAGCCTTCAACTCAATGAGAATGTTGTTATCTATAAACTTGTTGTCAATGTTCAACTGAAAGACAGGATTATTGACGAAGGTCTGATGATTCCGACAGCCACCTGCACTTCTCCCCTTCCATTCACCAGTCACCTAGCAAAATTATCAAAAACACTAATTATTTAAATTATTATTATTATATTAATATTATAGTATTAATGAATTAATTATTAAAACATCCAAAACCAGCCAAAGTCAAATTAAAACTGACCGATTTTTCATAGCGTTTTTCGTAGCGTTCGATTATTTTCCTCAGAGAGAACTGAGTAGTTGCGTATGTCCTGATCGTATAGTTGATGGTGTTGTTCTTCTCGTATTGTGAGACGACCAGTGTGAACTGGTGCAGGCCTTTTGAGACTGTCATGCGGCACAAATAGTGGGGACTGTTGATCCTCACTCCGTCAATGAAAGGTGGAGGATCAGCTGGGGGGAAGTATTTACAATTCATCGACATTCACTTGTTCGTTCGTTTATTTATTCACTAATTCACTCATATATTTAATCAATCAATCAATCAATCAATCAATCAATCAATCAATCAATCAATCAATCAATCAATCAATCAATCAATCAATCAATCAATCAATCGTTTTTCATAATACAGACCAAACAAAGCATACTATTATAACTGTTAATCATTAAATATATCCAACCCCAGCAGCCAATCACAAAAGGGGCACGACACAGAAACAACTAACATGGATAATAAACTTTCTTTCCTTCATTCTTATACACTAATAAAGTTATAAACTCTTTATTATCGGCGAAATCATCCTTATCAGTGATGTGCCGAGTTAGAAGAACCCAAACCCCGCCACCCGAGTCACCGGCCCGAACTTCTAATTTGTATTGCGGGTTGTCCCCCATCGTGTAGCTGTCTTTTTGAGGGCCGGTTTTCGCGTGCCACGTTCTGATTGGATGAAGAGTGCGTCGGTGAGTAAGTTCCGTGTAGAGAATGGGTGAAAAATGTCAAATTGTATATTTACATGCCTAGGAGATTGAGTGCTACATGAATCTGGCAACAAACTACCAGCTTAATTTACCATATCAATATTTTTCCACGGAAATCGAACTATAGCAATGTATAAAGACATAATACATATCAAAAAGGTTGGGATTTCTATTAAAAAACCCCGCATGACCGTGCTCAGAAGATTGAGTACCATTTCAATCTGGTGAGGAACTACCGACCCAATTTACTACGAACAACGAGAAAGTAATAACTGCTAACTCATGCAGACAGGTCGTGTGTGAGAAGACGCCGGGGTTCCAGTTCACGTAGATGACGTCAAAAAATTTCTTCAGACTATCATAATCAATCCAGAATATTCCTGTCATCATCGTTATCATCATCGTCGTCGTCATCGTCATCAACACAATCGTCGTCATCATCATAATCATTACCATCATCATTGGCGGCTGCGCGTTCGGGGTCATAGTTCAACTTTTTTTTTAGGGCCTCTGTCCAGTTGGCGACATCTTTCTCTGATATTTCCCCTCCACCTCAG